CATGCCCAGCTTCATGAAGTTTGTATAGGAACAGAACAGAAAGTCATAAGACACTTGCGGATAGGTGATGGCGCATCAGGCAGGCAAGTCCCAACACAAGTGAGGACATCTCTGCTGGAGGTCTCTGGTACCATCTGATGACATCCTTAGCTTTGGGGTTGGTGGAGGCAGACATCTCCACATTCCAGAAAGGACTTCCCTGAGTCACGAGGATGTTGATTCACACAGCAGTGGGCAATACATGGCTGATGAGGCACGAAGGTAGCCCGAGATTCCTGGCTCTGACCTGCAGCATTGTAAGCTCTCTGGGGTCACTGAAGCTGTGTCCAGCCCATCAGCCTTCGCAGCCTTCGATGTTCCGTAAAGGTGTGGCATCTGTGATAAGCGTTATGGCCTACACTCAGAACCCTGCTGCCAGTCAGCAGGCAGGCAGCTCCCGCTCCTGCTCCCTCCCCTCCCGTGTGTCCTGCTCCTCTGCGGGTCCCCTGCTCCTGAGCCTCTAGGCCCAGCTCCTCAGCCTTGTCTCTCTGGCGTCTCTAGGTGACGTCCCGCACGGCCTTCGGGAAGCCCCTTGTGGAGCATGGCACCATCCTGGCAGACATTGCCCGGTCACGTGTGGACATCGAGCAGGCTCGGCTGTTGGTGCTAAAAGCCGCCCACCTCATGGATGTGGCAGGAAACAAGGTGGGAAGCCTCATGGGTGACAGATGTCACCCCGGGGTGACACCGGAGTCAGTCCTTCTCTCCCTGTCTGGCTCTTGGACGCTGATAACTGCTACTGTTCTCTTGAGCTCTGGTCATCTGTTCCCATCCAGAAAAGGCCCAGGAAGAGGGGAACTGCCACTTTACCAACTGTGACCCTCCTGGTTTTCTTAAAGGGAGGTCTGAGCTGGGCGGTGGTGGCGCACGCCTTTAATCCCAGCACTCGGGAGGCAGGAGGCAGGTGGATCTCTGTGAGTTCGAGGCCAGCCTGGTCTACAGAGGGAGCTCCAGGAAAGGCGCAAAGCAACACAGAGAAACCCTGTCTCGAAAAACCAAAAAAAAAAAAAAAAAAAAAAAAGGGAGGTCTGGTGGCTCTGTACTCCTGTGGCATGTGGGGGCAGGGTATATGAGGGAAGAGAGAGCTGGGGAGGAGAGACATCACAGGCCTTGTCCAGACCATCAGCCAACGGAGGGTCTTCTTCCCAGAGCGCCATTACCCATCGCCTGTCAAGGCTAGGCATGGTGCGTGCTGACTGCTGGGTTATTTGGCGTCCCATGCCGGGGCCTTGCACCCACTCAAGAGCTGCAGTGACGGGTTGGGTCAGGAGCACAAGTCCTGGTTCTTTGATGCCCTTGTTGGTGGAGGCTTGAGATGCCTCCTCAGTCAGTGGCCAGCCCCGAGGTCATCCTCTCTGGCTTTGGTCCACGCTTGCCTGGCGCCATCGCTGGACACAGCTGTTTTGTGTTTGTGGTACTAGGCGTCAAAGCCAGGACCTCGTGTTTGCCGGGTGGGTGCCGTCCACGGGCAGTGGCTCAGGCCTCGGGATCTGACTGTGGCCCAGAACGCGGTACCCGCGCGTTCCCCTCTGGCAGAACCCAGCCCCGCGTCCACCCGGACAGTCACTTTGGCTTTACATGCTTTTCGCACTTTGTCCTGTTTTTCTCACCCTACCTTCCCCTGCAGGCTGCAGCTTTAGAGATTGCCATGATCAAAATGGTAGCCCCGTCCATGGCCTATCAAGTAATTGACCGTGCTATTCAGGTGAGCCACCCTCGACCGCCCTCCACTGTGCCCGCCACTTCCCTTTTCAAACCAAGCTCGTGCAGGCCCCCCCCCCCCCTTCCCGAGCCCAGTTCAGTAAGTGCCTCGCCCAGAGCATTCTGCTTGCAAGTAAGCTGGCCCAGGCGCAGGGGAGCCCTGTTGCTGCTCAGACCCAATGCCCCGACTCTGTGGGGTGCCTCCTTCCACATCCTGACACCTGGTCCCACACAGAACGTTCTCAGTAGCAGAAACCACCTTGAAGAACAGCCTTGGTGACTCAGGCATCCCAAGGGTGGCAGGGTGGCCCCATGTGAAGTCTGGAACTCACAGGTGTCGCGAGACAGCTGTCACCAGCTGTTCTGAGCAGGATGTCACTTTCAGAACTCACCCAGGCCTCCCTCTCCTTCCTACCATGTGTCTGCCAGGCCTTCGGAGCAGGGGGCCTGAGCAGCGACTACCCCCTGGCCCAGTTCTTTGCCTGGGCCCGAGCCCTGCGCTTTGCTGATGGCCCAGATGAGGTACACCGGCTGACCGTGGCTAAGATGGAAATGAAGAATCCCAGCAGGCTACAGGAGCCAGCAGCGCCCAGAGTGTAGATTCTGTGCTTGGAAAGGCCAGGTATGTGTGGTTCCTGCGTCACATCCCGCACCTCAGTCTGGGACATGCTGCCTGAGCCTTCTGGGGTCCCCCAGAGAAGGCATTTCTGGATAGGCTGGGAGTTTGTGTTTTAGGCCTGGAGGAAGGGCATTTGGGTCCAGCCCTGGGGAGCTGGTCTTGAATTCCTCAGACTTGACCTGTGGTTCCCCGACTTTTGCAGGCTGTAGGAATCTGGACACCTGTGTGCCGTGTTCTCTCTAGAGGCGATGGGGTTCCTTCTCAGGCCTTCTAGGAACGCCGAGGCTGCAGACCACAGCTGATGTTCCTGGGAACTGGGATGAAACCACTGTGTGAGCACTGGAGTGCCCACATCATGGGATACTGACTCAGATGCCCTGTTCGAAAGGGGCTGTTGGGACACACAGTCTGTGTACCTCCTGTGTCACACCAAGGACATGGGAATAAAGGCTCCCATAGCTCCTGTGACTCAGGTGCCCGTGGCTTCCTCAAGTCTCTGCTGCTTCCCCTACACCGGCCCCATATGCCAGGGCACCTTGGCTCATGGATGCCATGGCTCCTGATTCTCCCAATGTCTTCCCATCCCCTCACCACCAGAAAACCTCACCAGGGGAACCATGCCATCCGAGTGAGATCCCGGTTGACTGCGACACTCTGTCACCCATCAGCAGTCACGGTGGGGCATGAGGGAAGTCAGACGAGATGCTGCTGAGATCGGAAGAGTAATGTGTCCTCCCTGAGGATCGGGGGGTGGCCACCTTGGCAAGGTCTGAGGTCTTACAGGAACAGGGGCCTCATGAGACCAGAAAAGATGAAGAAGCCGTGGCTGGGAGGACTCGGCTTGAAGATGCAGCCACAGCCCGTCTCTGGGCAGCAAGCTGGGCCGGCACCATCACATGCTGTACTGTGGACCTGACCTCAGGGTACCTGCTTCCTCCGAATGGACTTGATGCTGCAGCCTGGGCCGTGCACTCTAGAGTGCGCGGTCACCACAGGCTCCTGACTCAGTTTCTCAGGTGTGCTGGGAACACAGGTGCCACCGCACCTGAGGGACGGTTCCCGAAGGACGATCGATGAAGTGCCCACCGATCACTGTCAGCGCCAGCACACCGGCAGATTCCTGCCACCTCAGTCCCACCTCTGTTTCAGGCCTGGGAGAAAAAAGAGGGGTTCATAAAAAAACATGACGTGGCATATTATGTGGCCCTAAGAATGCCTCTTGTGCCTCCTGAGTTAAGTTAACCTTGCTCTACTGCACGCCAATGTATGATACACCCCACATCTCCCTCAGATTCGCTGCTTCAAGGCCCGGATACACCGGCATTGTGTAAGCCCCTGGCCTTAACCACTGAGCTATCCGCACAAATCCCAGTGTGGGTTTGTGAAAGAGCCTGCCAGGGCTGGGGAGGAGGCAAGGCCGGGGAAAATGCTTCCTGCACAGGCATGGGCTCCTGAGTCTGGGTTCCAGAACCCGCATGGGAAAGCGGAGTGTGTGGCACATACTTGTGATCACCGGGAGGGTGGCGACAGGAGGGTCGCTGTGGCTCACTGGCCAGCCCTGCCTGCTTGCTCAGTTCTAGGCCCATCTCAGAAATAAAGATGGCCTGGTCCTGGAGAGTTACACCAGAGGTTGTCCTCTGGCCTCCAGAGACACACAAGAAACACACACACACACACACACACACACACAGAGAGAGAGAGAGAGAGAGAGAGAGAGAGAGAGAGAGAGAGAGAGAGAGAATGACTCTCTCTTTTTTTTTTTAAAGATTTGTTTGTTATGTATACAGAGTTCATTCTGCCTGTATAAGGAGGCACTGGATCTCATTACAGATGGTTGTGAGCCACCCTGTGGGAATCGAACTCAGAATCTCTGGAAGAGCAGCCAGTGCTCCTCACCTCTTGAGATAATCGCACCAGCTCCTGTAAATGACTTTTTATTCTTCAAAGTTGTGGGGGTTTGAATTAAATTTATATGAGTATGTAATGAACCTGTGACGTGGTCATGAGAACATGCGATGTTGATTTTTTTTTTTTTTTACTTTATTTTTGATCTGTGTCTGTGTGAGGGTGTCAGATCTTGGCGTTACAGACAGTTGTGAGCTGCCGTGTGGGTGCTGGGAATTGAACCCGGGTCCTCTGGAAGAGCAGCCAGTGCTCTTAGCCACTGAGCCATCTCTCCAGCCAACGATGTTGGTATTTCTTTCTTTCTTTTTTGTTTTGTTTTGTTCAAGACAGGGTTTCTCTGTGTAGCTTTGGTGCCTTTCCTGGATCTCACTCTGTAGACCAGGCTGGCCTCGAACTCAAAGAGATCCGCCTGCCTCTGCCTCTGCCTCTGCCTCCCGAGTGCTGGGATTAAAGGCATGCGCCACCACCGTCCGGCCAATGTTGGTATTTCTTAAGAAAGACATTGGGAATGCCAACAAATGCAAGAAGGACCACAGCAATGCCTGCCACTTACCTGTTTCCAGGGAACAGAGTACACGATGCTCCCACCCTGAAGAGTGCTTTCTGAAGACAAACATTGCTGTGTTGTACAACCTTGAACATGGTACCTATGAAGAGCTCTTCTCTGCTGAACTGTAAACACTAATTCTATTAACAATGGAGCTGTAACAGTAGAAGGGGCCTTGCTGTTCCGAGCGCTAAGAGGCTGCCTGGAGTCACCCCGGTTTCCCACTTCCCGTTCCTCCAGCATTTGTCAGGAGAGACGATTTGACCAACCTCTCCCAAAAGTTCACCAGCCGTTCAAGCTGAAGTTCCCTAACAGCCGCGGACTCCAGAGGAGTCTCCCGCAAGAATAAACAGATGTGAGAATGGAAAATACAAAGGAGCAGGCGCCATGGTTTTAGAAGACACAGGGCAGGATCCCAGGATAGCCTTCCCAGCCTATCTCCATTCTGGCCATTCTGTGGCACCTCGGTGGTGGCCGTCCTGGCACTTAGCCCCATGGAAGCACACCTGTCTTCCAGCAGGCTGCTCAGGCCCCAGTGGGCTTGGTCTGGTGAGGATCCGGTCTGACCAGTTTTATGGGCTCCATCCCACTGTGGCCTGTGACCTGTCTTGGAAGAGGATCAAGGCAGAGCGATCCTGCCTTCCCTTCTCCCACCACAGCGTTCGATCCTAAAACGGGAATGGCAACCGTCTGGGCCCCTCCCGGCACTCATCGGGCAGGATTCCCACGGGGACAGCGGGACTGTCTGACTCCAGGGTCCCATCAAAGGTGCTGCCTTTGCTCCTACGACTCCATCTCTTCATCTGTGTGTTCCCAGCAGCCTCCTGCAATCTCAGCCTGTGCTCCCTCAAGCCCTGATTTCAGATACAGCCCTGAGATTCCAGAACCATCCCGAGAGGCTGGTCTCCAGGTGACCTTAACCTGCCTGGCCAGGGCCCCTTCAAAGCCACAAGGAGAGTGGAACGGAGAGAGCTCCAGGATGCACCGGGTCATAGGGTAGATTTCTGTCACCTCAGGGCTTCAGGCTCCCCAGGGATGTGTGGGGTGGCTGAGGCATTGGCCAAGCATTCCCATCTCCCATTACTGGGTAGTATGGACTGACAGACACCTGGGCACAGACTCCTCCCCCCCCCATGTGACCTGGGGACCAACCCTGAGTGATGATTGGACAAGTAATCTGATCCAGAGTTTCTTCTAATTAAAGCAACACAGTGGAGAGATGGCTTTGTTCTTCTATCAGCATCTTAGATAACTCGGTGTTTGAGATCAATGAAAGATAGCCAAGGCCAATCCTAGCTGAAGTGGGATGGGCTGGCTTCATCCAGGAACGTGACTGGGGGAGGGAGGGGTCAGTATGAGGCGAAAATACTGACATCTGCAGAAATGGGGGTTAAGCAAATGTAGGAAGTGGAGTTGGTCCGTGTGAAACCCACCTGGGCTACCAGGTTGTCCTTATGGAGAAATCAAGACACAGGAGAAGGGGACCCTGCCTATCTTCAGTGTTTGTAACAAGCAGGAACTTCCTTGGCAGCTTGGAGCATGTCCAGGCTGACAGTGCTTTAAAGGGGACCTGGGTCCCCCCTGATGAGGAGGCCTGGAGCTGCTAGGAACTACCAGTGTTGACTGTGGTCTCTTTGTGTGACATGTGTGAACACAGTGTTTCTGGGCCGAGCTGGAGAAGCAGGCCCAGAGAAGCCTGCCTGGCCAGAGTTGGGTCAAGGAAAGCATCTTCCTTGTGGGTTCCAGTGTCCCACATTCACCTGGGCTTGGGAGGGGATTTTCCCTCTCTTGGCCTTGAGTTTTCTTCATTTGAAAAGTGGAGAGGACAGAGCCCCTGGGGATGAAGATCAAGGAGACGGGGCATAGTTCCAAGCTTGCACTGTACCGGGGCATTCCTGCATGGCTGCCCTCAGGAAGAGGCCAGAGAGGAAGGGGCTTGGCTGCAGGGCGTCGCTCAGTGGGACCGTGTTTGTCCAGTGTGGTGCACATGAGGTCCATCCCAAGCAAGGGCAGAAGAGAGAGGAGGCCGTGCTTCCATGGAGGACCGGGACCTGATGGATTTTCATCAGGCCGAGGGTCAGCCCCCGACTCCCTAGACCACAGTGCTTCTCAAAGTTACCCTGCAAAGCACTATCCTATGGGCTAGCCGAAGTGTGAAGTGTTAGTTGGTATGGGGGCCTTTCAATCACCCCTGCAGAAACGCTGTTTGCTTTGAGCTCACACACACACCCCCTTTTGAGAAGCCCGAGTGGGGAGGATGCTGGACCTCCCAGGTCAGGGACACCAGCTGGAGGAACTGTAAGTGCTCCTGGTTACTCGGGCACAGGAGGTGGCAGGTTCAGACTCTTCCCAGCAATGAGGACGACTAGATACTCTGCCCTCCCCATTCTAGAGATAAGGAGACTGAGACTTAAGGAGGTCAGATAGCTTGCCCAAGGGCGGGCATATAGCCAGCAGCTCAGTTCAGAAGTTTCTAGACTGCTTTCTCCTTTGAGACTTCGCTTAGCGGCTTCGTGTGAGCATCTGGCCACCCGAGTGAAGGAAGAGGAAGCTGGTGACCTGCCACCTACAAGGTGTTTGTTTTCCTGATGCTTCTGTCTCAGGAGATCAGTAACCTCAGTGTGGCCCTCTGTCTACCTGAGGGGTTCAGAGGCTCTGAACACAGGCAATGGCCGGCCACATGGGCTGGTTGTACCCAGAAGCCAGCTGTGTGCCATGAGATTGTGTATAAACCAGGATGTGACAGGGCTACAGGGCTGGTCCACGTTTTTTCCTGCTAGTGACTTGTAGTCTGCTTTGGTTTGAATGTTGCTGAATCCCCAGCCTAACTTAACTGGGTGTGGGGAAGGTCTGTCCTTAGCCTCAGTGTTCCAGATGGAGACTGAACAACCAATAGTTTGTCTCCCTATTCTGTGACCCCGAGGAAGCCCTCAGTGGCTGTCAGTTTTCTGTGTATATTTTGGTTTGGGTTTTCCAGGCAAGGTTTCTCTGTGTAGACCAGGCTGTCCTGGAAACTCATTTGTAGACCAGGCTGGCCTCGAACTCACAGAGATCTGCCTGCCTCTGCCTCCTGAGTGGGTTTGTTTCATTTTTAAAATCAGATTAAAGATTGGACAATGAGAAAGAAAATGGAAAGAATCAAGGAAGATCTGGGTGTGGAGTGGACATTTTTCATTCCAGCACTTGGGAGGCAGAGGCCTCCGGAAGCGGCCAGTTCAAGGCCAGTTTGGGCTATATAAGGAGACAATTCTCCAAAAGCCAGGGGCTGGGGGTGTGGCTCAGTGGCTAGAGGACATCACTAACATAAGGTCCCAGGTTTGATATACAGACCAGAAAATGAGGAAAATACCAGTACAGTCAGGTAGAAATACAGTATGTGTGTTATGCTGTAATACATGACATTATCTAATGTTACATTAGACTTGTCAACATTAGGGGACTGAGCCACACAGAGCCTTGCCTCATTTTTGTTGCTGTGATAAACACCCTGACCCTCCCTGTCCCAATTAAAACAAAAAACAAAAAACAAAAAAACCTTAGGACAGAAAGGGGTTAATTCGGTTACAACTCCAGGTTAGAGCCCTTCATAGCAGAGAGGTCACAGTGGCAGGAGCTTGGGGCAGCTAAACCATGTCACACACCCAATCAGGAGCAGAGAGGACAATGCATGCAGCTTGCTCGCTAGCTCTCTCCTCTTCAGGACCCCCTAATGGGGAATGGTACCACCCACGGTGGGCCAAGTCTTCCCACGTCAATTCATAGTCAAGAGAGTCTCCCACAAACGTGTCCATAGGCCAACCTGACCTAGATAGTTCCTCCAGTAAGACTGTCTTCCCTGGTGATTCTAGGTTGTGTCAAGTTGACTGTTAAAAAAAAAAAATGACCCATCGTGGCGTTGAAGTGGAGATTATACGAAATCAGCAAAGGAAGGCTAGTGGGCTGATAGGATAAAATTTTGCCTGAAGCTCATCTCCGAGTTCAAGGCCAGCCTGGTCTACAGAGTGAGTTCCAGGACAGCCAGGGCTACACAGAGAAACCCTGTCTCAAAACAAAACAAAACAAAACAAAACAAAACAACAGAAAGAAACCTGTAAATCACAAAGATCCACCTGCCTCTGTTTCCCCAGTACTGGGTTAAATGTGTTCCACCATGCCTAGTCCTTCTGCTACATTTTGATGATTTATAGGGTGTCCAGCATGCTAGGCAAGTGCTCTGCCACAGAGTTACATCCCTTACCCCAGAGTGAGAGCCTTTCTGTTTTGTTCTGTTCTGAAGTTTGGCTTTTTGAAACAGAATCTCTTTATGTAGCCCAGGCTAGCCTTTAAGCCACAGTCCTGCCTCTCTGTGCTGGGATTCAACAGTGGGGGTTAAACTTAAAGGAGGGCACTCTCCACAGGAGTGGCACCCATGTCCACTGTCAGCCACCAGCACGCAGCTGCTTGTCCATGTCCGGGGACCACATGCCTGGAGACCTTCACCCACATCACAGCTCATGTGGTCTCACTGGAGGACCTGGTCCCGGAATATCAAGTTGT